TTTAGATCACTGACATTCAAAGTGATTACTGATATAGCTGGATTAATATCTACCATATCCATTACTGTTTCATTACTGTTTTCTATTTGTTGCCCTTGTTTTTGTTCCAATTTTTGTCTTCCACTCTTTTTCTGCCTTTAGTGGTTTTAATGAGCATTTTACGATTCCATTTTCCATTCTTTCTTAGCATATCCGGTATATTTCTTTTTTTTATTTTTTTTAGTGGTTGCCCTAGAGTTTGCAATATACATTCACAACTAATCCAAGTTCATTTTCAAGTATACTACACCATTTGACAGGTAGTGTGAGTACCTGATAATAACAAAATAATCCTAATTCCTCCCTCCCATCCCTTGTACCATTGCTGTCACTCATTTCACTTATATATAAGCATGCGTAAGCATATATACACATAAAACGGGTAATTAAATACATTGTTGGTATTATTATTTTGAACATTATTTGTTAGATCAATTAAGAAAAATAAAGGTTTTTATTTTACTTTCACTTATTTCTTCTTTGATGCTCTTCCTTTCTTTAAGTGGATCTGAGTTTCTGACCTATATTATTTGCGTTCTCTAAAGAACTTTTTTTTTTTTTAATAAAACTGTTTTTTGATTTGTGATAAAGATTGGCCATGAGCTAACATCTGTTGCCAATCCTCCTCTATTTGCTGAGGAAGATTGGCCCTGAACTAACATCTGCGCCCATCTTCCTCTATTTTGTATGTGGGATGCCGCCAGAGCATGGCTTGATGAGTGGTGCGTAGGTCCGCGCCCAGGATCCAAACCTGCAAACCCCAGGCTGCCAAAGTAGAGCACGCAAATTTAACCACTACACCACCAGGCCGGCCCTAAAGAACTTTTAATATTTCTCTCAAGGCAGGTCTACTGGCAACAAATTCCCTCAGTTTTTGTTTTCTGAGAAAATTTTTATTTCTCCTTCACTTTTGAAGGATAATTTCACAGATTACAGAATTCTAGGCTAGTGGGTTTTTTCCTCTCAACATTTAAATATTTCACTCTACTCTTTTGGTTGCATGGTTTCTGAAGAGAAGTTGATAGAATTCTTATCTTTGCTCCTCTATAGGTAAGGTATTTTTTTCCTCTGGATTCTTTCAGTACTTTATCTTTGATTTTCTATAGTTTGAAGATGATATGCCTAGGTGCCATTTTGGGGGGCATTTCCCCTGTGTGGTGTTCTCTGAACTTCCTGAATCTGTGGTTTGGTGGCTGACATGAATTGGGGAAATTCTCAGTCATTACTGTTTCAAATATTTCTTCTGTTCCTTTCTCTCTTCTCCTTCTGGTGTTTCCCCTTACGGAGTTGTCCCACAGTCCTCGGATATTGTGTTCTGGTTTTTTTCAGTCTTTGTTCTCTTTGCTTTTCAGTTTTTCAGTATATCTATTGATATACCCTCTAGCTCAGAGATTCTTTCCTCAGCCGTGTTCAGTCTACTAATAAGCCCATCAAAGACAGTGTTTTTCATCTCTAGCATTTCTTTTTGGTTCTTTCTTATAATTTCCATCTTTCTGCTTACATTGCCCATCTGTTCTTGCATGCTGTCAATTTTATGCATTAGAGCCCTTGGCATATTAATCATAGCTATTTTAAATTCCCACTCTGATTATTCCAACATCCCTGCCATGTCTGGCTTTGATGCTTGCTCTGTCTCTCTAAATTGTGTTTTTTGCCTTTTGAGATGCTTTGTAACTTTTCTTGATAGCCATACATGACATACAGGATAAAGGAACTGCTGTAAATAGGCCCTAAGTGATGTGGTGGTGAGGTGTGGGTGGTGAGATGGAAGTGTACTATAGTCCTATGATTAGGTCTCAGTCTTTTAGAGAGCCTGTGCCTCTGGACTGAGAACTTCACAAATGCTTCTCAGTTGTTTTCTCCCCTCTTAGGTGGGACAGGGTGGCTAGAGTGGGCTGGAGTTGGGTATTTCCCTTCCCCAGGTCACTTAGGCTCTGATAATACCCCAGCAAGTTAGGCAGTGGTTAACTAGTTTCCCCTGAGGGCAGACCTGGTTAAGAAGAACAGAGTGCTCTGGTATATTTCAAAATGGTTCCTTTTCCAGAAGCTCAAGGGAATTTTTCTGATATTTACTGTGGGAATCTGGTAGAGGTCCTGGAGATAAATTTCACAATATTGGGGGAGAGGGCCCTCCCTATGACTGAGTTTTTAACTCTCAGAGTTGTTCACACTGAGCTGCCAGCAATTCAACACTTACAGTTAAGGTTTTCCAACCCTGGCACTGGTTCCCACGGTGGCTTCCACTGCTGAGTCTCTCTGCTCTGGTAAGCCATGACTCCCTGTAAATGCCTGTCTGTCTCCAATATTGGGGGCAGCAGTTTGCCTTGTGTCCTCCCCTTTCTTATGGATCCAAAATGAGTTATGGATTTTTTCAGTTTGTTCAGCTCTTGTTGTTAGGACAGAGTGGCGACTTCCAAGCTCCTTACATGAGAAACTGGAAACCAGAAGTCAAGTTCGGGGTTTGCTTGTTTGTTTACCTACGATTTGATTTTTAAAAACTAACAGACGTTAGAAATTGCTGATAGTGCCTTTCAGACCCAAAGGTGAAGCCACTGCCAGTCTAATGCAGCCAGTGAAATCTCAGAGAAACACAAGGGATAACGTGTGCCGCCCACTGGTCATGTCAATTACGTCAGTCTGACCTGTTCTCATCTGTGAGACCTGAACCCCTTTCTGGTGTGTGTCTGGCATTCTAGCTTCCCGCTGGGAACAGCAGCGCCTCCACTAGCAAACTCCGATTCCCAGCCCCACAGCTTGATCCTTTTCCACCTCCTGGACTGCAGTCTCCCATTACAGCCCGAGCTCAGCTCCTACCACCAAGAGTGGAACAGCAGGAGAAGTGGAAAATCACAAGATTTCTGGATAGTGGATAATGTGTTCACCTTGAAAGTGATTTTTCTTTTTTAATCACACAAACCAATTATCTTCCAAAGTGTACAGTATGAAAAGAGAACGGGAAAAAAGAGTAGCTTTACAGCAGAGAAACCTGACCTCAAGCCAGGCGGTCAAGTTAAACATCGACAGTAGTAACCCACGCTGATAACATGTACCTTTGAGATAATGCGATGAGAACGATACTTTATATCTCTGGTCTTCCTCCCCAAAACACATGACCTCAGTCTAACCACGAGCAAAAAAAAAAAAAAACAGACAAATCCCAATTGAGGAACATTCCACAAAATAACTGACCAGTACTGCTCAAAACTGTCAAAATCATAAAAAACAAGGCAAGTCTGAGCAACGGTCACAACCAAGAGGAGCCTTAGGAGACATGACAACTAAATGTAATGTGGTGTCCTGAATGAGATCCTGGGACAGAAAAAGGACATTAGGTAACAACTAAAGAAATCTGAATAAAAACTAAAGAAATGTGAATAAAATATGGACTTTAGCTAATAATCATGCTTCCATATTAGATTATTCATTATGACAAATGTACCGTGCAAATATGAGAAATTAATAATAGGGATAACTATTGTGGGGTATATAGGAAGTTTCTGTACTATCTTCACAATAATTCTGCAAAGCTGAAACTGTTCCAAAATAAACAGGTTATTTTTTAAAAATCCTAATCACAATTATGTTTTTTTAAAAAAGATAAACATTTAACAACATAAATATTAAAACTTTTGGACAATACAAAATTTGTAACTCTAACATAAAGAAAAATAGCAATGGGGGGCAAATATCTATAGCAAATATGACAAAAGACTAAAGTGCATATATATTTTAATGTTCATAAGTATGTAAGAGAAACATTAAGAAAAAAGTTAAACAGGCAAAAGAAGACTAGAATTCATACAAAAGGAAATGCAATGTACTAAACAATAATAAAGAAAATTTTTAAAAACTAAAACAATTAGGTATTATTTAAGTGCAAAACTGTTTCAAATATGGTGATGGTGCTGCTACATTTTAAATCACTTCACTTATACGGTATTGGATAACCGAGTAAAACTGATCAAACTCTTTTGAGTGCTATGGACTGAACTGTGTCCCCCCAAAATTCACACGTTGAAGCCGTAACCTCCAATTTGATGGTATCTGGAGGTTAGGCCTTTGGGAGAAGATTATTAGGTTTGGATGAAATCCTGAGAGTGGAACCCTCATGATGGGATCAGTGCCTTTACAAGAAGAGACACCAGAGAGCTTGCTCTCTCTCTCTGCCATGTGAAGACACAGGAGAAGGCAGCCAGCTGCAAGCCAGGAAGAGAGCTCTCACCAGAACCTGACCGCGCAGGCACCCTGATCTCAGACTTTCAGCCTCCAGATCTGTGAGAAAATAAATTTCTGTTGTTTAAGCCGCCCAGTGTGTGGTATTTTGTTATGGTAGCCAGAGCTAACTAATACACAAAGGTGATTTGAGATGTATCATATAAGGAGCAATAAAAATATTGATCCCTCTTAATCGAGTAATCCTATATCTGTGAAGTTAACATTTGGAGATAATTCAAACATATGACAAAGCTATACGCAAGAAAACATTCATTGCTTAGTTTTAAGTTTTTAAATCGGTAACGACCTAAACATCTAACAATGGAGAAATGATAAATAAATTGTGGTGTTCCACTTGATCTAATATGATGTCACTTAAAATCATTACGAAAACTATGTAGGCTTACAAAAAATGCTTAAAACAACGAGGCTACCTATGTAAATAAATATGGACAAGATGTAAAAGTGTTAGCAATGAACAAATAAAATTTAACTTGGAAAACATTTTTTCTTTTATTTTAGTTAAATGAATGTTATAAGAAATAATACTCAAAAATATATTTGACAGTAACGAGATACATCCTTTCTTAAGCATAATCACATCCTAACTCAAATTACAGAGAAGAGACTTTTTCTGACAGTAGTCACTACTCTCAAAAAAATGAAAATGAAATATTTACATTTTATATAAGAGAACCATCAATTTTTCTTTACTACATACTTTTTTTTATTATGTTACTACTTACACAGAGATGGTTTCCAAGGCATCTTCAAAGATGTCCTGGAGGGGAACAAAAAATACAATGAGTTTCTCAAGAATCAAGAACTCTAAAGGCAAAAAAGAAAGTGAGTCTGTCTGTGTGTGCAGGGCAGAGCAGGGAGAGTTCTGGTGGAATGCAGTAGAATCATTCCACTTAACTCTCACTAATGGAATACCTTTCAGAGAAACCAAGCATATGAATTTAAGTGAGGTTTCATTTATTTATTTTTTTTATATAATTTTATTTATTTATTTATTTTTTCCCCCAAAGCCCCAGTAGATAGTTGTATGTCATAGTTGCACATCCTTCTAGTTGCTATATGTGGGACGCGGCCTCAGCATGGCCGGAGAAGCGGTGCGTCGGTGCGCGCCCGGGATCTGAACCCGGGCTGCCAGCAGTGGAGCGCACGCACTTAACCGCTAAGCCACCGGGCCGGCCCTCATTTATTTTTTTTTTATAATTAAGACTAGTAAAATATTCAGTTAGTAATCAAACTGGGCTAATTTGAAGAGAGTGTGACTTCTTTAATAGAGTTATCTTTCACTCTTCAGTCTCACTCATCCCAGATACAGGATAAAACAAACAAACAACAGGACTTGCCCAATTTAGTCTTCTCCTTCCCCATGGCTAGCCAAGTTAGCAACCTCTGGGCCTTCGCTTCACATCTAACTTCACTACCCTCCTAGCTAGTCTTCCTGCCACCATCCTTTTAATCTGTACCACACAGATAGCCTTTTCCTTCACGCCACTGGTCTGTTCAAAAGCTACAACAGGAGAAAACTCCCCCTGCACACACACACACTCACTCATATGCACTCACAAATCCACACATGCACCCCACACTCATACACACTGACTCACACACTCACAGTCTCACATATAAACTCCCAGTCATACACACACTCACAAACACACACTCACAAACTCACACATACACAAAGCTCCCTATAGCTATAAAAATCAAATATAAGCTCCTCATCCAGGTAGTTGGGACCCACCATAACCTAGCTGAACCTTCAAAGCATCCTCTCTACATCCCTACCACCATCACCACAGCCCAAGCACAAGGACCTCACTGGTCACCCTTCTCCCAAGCCTAACACCCTCTATTCAATTCTTTCTACAACAGCTGTGGTTATTCTTTTCTTTTCTTTCTCTTCTTTTAATAAGCTCACGCCATTCCACTGCTCTAGACTTCTTCAAGAGCTTTCCATTGCATTTAGAATAAACCCAAACTCCTTCCCATGATCTACAGAGCCCTAAATGGCCCTGCCGGCCTCTGATCACCTCTCTACCCACTGACCCCCTTGCTCACTCCACTTCAGCCCCAGATCTCTCTTTCTGTTCCCTGAACAAGCCAAACTCATCCCACACCTCTCTGCATTGTTCCCTCTTTCCTAGAATGATCTTTGCTCTACTCTTCCATGGCTGACTCATTCTCATCCTTCCATTTTCACATCAGAAAGCCACTTCCTCAGAGACTATGCTGATAACCCTAATTAAACTATTAAACTACTAGGAATAGCAGCTTACATATAGTTTCTCATCATCTGATTTATTTCATTCATAATATTTATCATAACCTCTAATCATCTTGTTTGTAAAGTTGGTTACAATCTGCCTCCATCAAGGCAGGTTCTTATTTACCATGTTTACAGAAAAATCACCAGGGCTAGGCACGGAGTTGTTGCTCAATAAATACACGTTGCCTAGTGAATGAATGAACTGAGCTTGGACTTCAAGGCTCTGATCACATCACCTCATTTAGAGCTATGATACAGAAATGAGGAAAGAGTAGGTTACAGAACTTTTCCCTTGCGTGACCATTAATATTACACAATGTTTATACTGGACTCTGCATTTAGGAAAGAAAAGGAAAAAAAACTGTGTAAATACTAGAAAGAAGAAACAAAGTTATAAGTAGTGGCAGAATGGAGTGTAGAATTTGGGGTCCCTGACGTATTGATCTACGTTACTTCCATACTCTGTAAGGGAGGTTGAGGCAAGGGCAATGCCCTCTTATCCTCACTCTCCAGAGATTAGTGACTGGAACAAAATCAGAAGCTCGTAAACCAGCCTCTGGAAGAGAAATCAGCTAGTTCTGAAGCAAAAGAACCTCAGCCAAAAGTAAAAAGATGCTTCTCTGGCCTTTGTGAAAATTCTTAACTAGAAAAAGACTCTTTTCTCTAAATCAAAAGTCTGAAGAGGCTCTTGGTATCACAGATTTTGTCATTTTGAATCATAGCTCAGTGTCCCACACGTCAGCACACAGGTTATCACGCGAGGGGCTGTGGAGAAGGGAAGAGACTCTCCTCTCCAGGAGCCCAAATCTGGCTGTGATGATCAGCTGCCTGTGCCAGACACCAGGTCTCAGTCCCTCTGGCATCACTGTTAACCCCACCTGGGCTGACCCTTCCCAAGAAAGAGGGAAGGTAGAGAGCAAGCACCTGGAAGGCTTCTGTGCACCCATCTGCCTCCTCACAAACCTCAACACAGAGCAGGGCACACAGCAGACACTGAAGTACTGGGCGGGCTCTCCATTTAAAAGGAGACAAGGCTTTTACAAGCAAGAAACACTCCTATCCCCACCCTCAGAAAAAGAGAAACTAAAGAATACCAAGTTAGAAATCATCTTCACTTAAGTAACATCTCTCCATTTTGTCAAATGCAGAGGGTTCTCTCAAAAAAAAAAAGCATACTGTACAACACTGTGACCATAGTTAAGACTGCGTTGTATATCTGAAAGTTGCTCAGAGTAGATCTTAAAAGTTCTCACCACACGCACACAACAAAACTGGAACTATGTGAGGTGATGGATGTGTTAACTGACCTTATTATGGTAATCATTTCACAATATATACATATATCAAATTGTATACCTTAAATTTACACAATGCTAAATGTTTGTTATATCTCAATAAATCAGGGCAAATTTTTTTTAATTAAAAACATGTTGAAATCTATTTTTTAAATTTAGCTAAATAATAAAAATTGAATAGAAATACCTCCATTAGTAATGGAGAAAATCCACCAGAATGCTAGGATATTATTCTAATAAACTAGAGATGAGAAAGAAAGAAAAAAAAGGAGAGAGAGAAAAAAGAAAGAAAACTTGTCAATGAAGCCCAGACAAAAGGTGAAAATTTTTTCATCTTAAAAAGAGGAAAGATAAAAAGAAGAGCTAAGATTTACTGCGTGCCTGTCATGTGCCAGGCACTTTACAAAAGCTGTCTCGTTTGCTCTTTCCGATCTGCAACAAGTGAATCCAGCCGCAGGTAAATTACCCGCCCAATATTACACAGCTGGTAAGTGAAGGAACTAGGATTTAATCTCAAATTTCTTTAACTCCAAAGTATTTTCTAATGTTAATAAAACTATCCCCCAAACTTGGAACTAAGGCAGTTGGGCAGGAGTGGGGGGGCGGGGGGGGTAGCATAAACTCTCAAGGTCATTTTGCAGCATCATTGAACAAGCCCTCCCAAGGATTCTTTAATTCTCTAAAATGTACTTATGTTTGACTTTGCTATTTATTATCTGATTAGAACCCAGACACTGTGAGGTTACATGTTAACTTTACATGTAGATTTCTAAATGGTAGAAAAACCTCAAAGATTATAGTTTTATTGCCGCATAGAACATTACCCAGTTTTACATATAGCCCAGCAATCTTAATCTAACATTGCCTTTTTTTTTAGCCTATAAATACCTAGTTCCTCAAATGCCCTTTGAATCAGTTTACCATCTCACTAGTTTCCTCACTGATGGGTTAAATAAAATTTTGCTGTGTTCATTTTCTATCTTTTTTTGTGTGTGTGAGATCAGCCCTGTGCTAACATCCGCCCATCGTCCTCTTTTTTTTTTGCTGAAGAAGACTGGCCCTGGGCTAACATCCATGCCCATCTTCCTCTACTTTATATGGGACACCGCCCAGCATGGCTTGCCAAGCGGTGCGTCGGTGGCGCCCAGGATCCGAACCTGCGAACCCCGGGCCGCCGCAGCGGAGCACGCACACTTAACCACTTGTGCCACTGGGCCCGGCCCCTCATTTTCTCTCCTTATGAGAGTCACATTTCTAATTTTTAGAAATGATACTTTGACATTAATAGTGACAACACACTCTCTCCCTGGGTACCAGCTCCTTGGGAAAACTGCTGTGGGTTCTGCCTGGCAGATGGAATGCCAGAAGTCAAAGAGATTGTCTGCTCATACCTCCCATACCATATACCCAGGGACCAACGGCCTCCTTTCTTTCTGTCTCTCTAGGTCCCGACGCCCAGTCAATTTCTACCCCTTCCTGCTACTGCCTCAGGGAGCTCCTGTCCTGTGTGGGGTCTCATCAGGACCCCTAGGTTTGGCACTTGATCTGCAGCAGACTGCTAGTCAACAACCTCCCACCCAGCACTAAGTAGACCCACATATATTCTTCGTGTGGTATAACTAGATTTTTCTACCTATGGTCTCTGTGATTCTCCATATTCACCATCAACTTCCCAGCGTTTCTCCAGTGTTGGTTGTCATTTCCCCAGGGATTATCATAAGCTGGTTTCCCTTAAACCTCCCAGTACTGGGTAGGCTCACCCTGTGGACTCCAGTTGAAACACATACAGTCAGAGAAGCATCCAGAGTCCTTCCAGTTTAAGGAAATTAAGACAGCTCACGCCGCTGACAAATACGACATACTCAGAGAAAAGCCTCAGTGTTTAGTTCCTTCTTGACGGCTGCTGGATTTGCCTCCCCCACTCCCATGCCGGGCCAGCCTCGAGGGGCTACTACCCTGGGGCCTAGTTAACAAATGTTTAACTGAGCCCCACCCGGCTCCTAATCATACATTGCATCAAAATGGTACCTGACTTTTTCAAGAGCCTATCTTGACTCCCTGGCTGGACTCAAGGGCCATCATATTCCTTTTGAATCCACTTTATAACCCAGTACAGCGCTTCGCACTTCACAGACTCTTAGCAAATAACTGTTGGCTGACTGAGTACTCCTGTCTTGAGATGGAAGGTCCGTACCCAGAGCA